CAAGGAGTTGGAAGCAACCCAAATTTCCATCAACAGACGAATGGATTAAAAAACTATGGTACATACATACAATGGAGTACTATGCATAACTAAAAAGCAACGATGAATGCATGAAGTATATCGCTGCATGGGAAGAACTGGAGGAAATAATGCTTAGTGAAGTAAGCCAAGCATAAAAGGACAAGCATAACATGAGTCCGCTGAGGTAAGTTTATATATATATATAAAAGAAAGAACAGAAAGGTAAATGCAAAAGGGGCAGAGGGAAAAAGCTACTGTATACAAACTCTCTAGGGGTAAGGTCCAGGTAGTATGGCAGGTTCCAGACCAAATCCAGGGATACATACGGTAGCCAACCACAAAGGGGGGAGTGGGGGAAGAATGAGAAAGAAAAATAAAGGGGATATGTGACGGGGGAATAGGGCACTGACCACCCAAGGGAAGGGGAAAGGTATTGTTTGTGTCTCCACAGGGAAAGAGGAACCAGATTTAAAGCCAGTGCCAGATGAATACAGCTTATTGGCAAGGAGTGGGGAGCTAGTGGAGGGGCCTTGGGGTTCGGCCCCCATGCCAACTATGTGGACAACAGCCCCTCCCCCCAGAAGAAGCTACTTGAGAGGACGGCAATGAAGCTGCAGTTAGGGGAGAGGGGCATGTCTGATCAGAGCAAATGGGAGCACTTAGGAGGAGGCAGAGAGAGTGGAGCACATCCTGACCCATCAGGCCTGGGGGACGACATTCCCGCTCTGAACAGCCAGTGGACAGAGTGGACAATATGGCTGAACCCACCACGAGACACGCTGTCCCTTGATGGCCCCGGGCTGTAAGGGGGACAACACTGGACACTCAGTGTCGGGACTGGCCCAGACTGACCCTGAGACACCCAGCAAACGACAAAAAGCGTGCAGCAAAATAACCGTGGGAGCAGAGCAGAGAGCCCCCGAGGGAGTACAAAGGACAGACTTGGGGGCCCAAGCATGGTACCCCATCGGTCCTGACTGAAGGACACGCCTAGAGATAAAAAGTCAGACCTTGATCTATTTACAAGTTTTTCTTTCTGCTTAAAATATTTTTCTTTTAATTAACTTATTCTTCTATGGGTAATTGGTTTCCTTTTTTGTTGCCATCGCTGTGCTCTCACTGATTGCCTATCTTGCTATGGCTTGGTTTTTTATGCATATTATTATTTCTACAGATCTATCTAGATAAGATAGACTGGATGA